AGCCAATAGAGGATGGTTTGAAGGAAGAGTTTTTTGTTGGATTTCAAAAGCTTTTTCGTAAAATGAAAGTGCTTTAGAATACTCTCCCACGTTGTGGTACATACTACCGATGTTGTTGTATAAACTAGCCAAATAAAAATGATTTGAAGGAAGAGCCTTTTGCCAAATGTCAAGTGCTTTTTCGTAAAATGAAAGTGCTTTCGGGTACTCTCCCATGTGGTTATACACATTGCCAATGCTGTTGTATGGACTACCCAAATCAGAATGATTTGAAGAAAGAGTTTTTTGCATTTCAAGCGTTTTTTCGAAGTACCAAATTGCCTTTTTATAATCACCTTGATCCAAATGAACACCTCCAAGCTGATGATAATAAAGCGCTTTTTCATCCTCGTCAGAAGTCTGTTTGAGTAATACATTGTAAAGTTCTTCAGCTTTATGAAACTGACCGATTTGAAGCAATAAATTACCCAATCTTTGCCATCCAGTATCACCACCAGCTTCTTGTCGTATCCAATCAGTAAGTGATCGTAGTTGTTGGTCATCATCCGACGTTAATTGTAATTCAACTTGATAAAGTTGATTCTCATTACGAATTGGTTTAATTGCAATCACTCGAAAGATCGTATGCATTGAAAAGAGAATTTCGTCTTCTTCCTTAAAATAACCCACCCCTTTGATGGAGGCAAATGGCGCCAATTTAATACAAGGATCAATAGACATTACGAAGAGGATGCCCACCTTGTTTAGTTCTGTTGAAGCACATTCAGCAAATTCGAGAGATACATGTTTATCTTTACTCGTTGACAAGAAATTGTTAAATGATATTAAGCCACCTTGTGTTTTCTGAAGTTTTTCGAAATCGGATTTTATAAGACCCTGTCCGCGATAGACTACAAAAGGTTGTTTACCATAAGTACTGATCTGCTGTTCATACAGCTGTTGAATTTGTTTATGTAAATCACGTAGGAAAAATCCCATAGTAATAATTATATCAGCGTCCAGTGTTCGAAGACCACAATTGAGCACAGAATAGATATTGGATGGGAAAGTATACCACCAAATAGCTAATTGAGCATGGTATTCTTTTTCAAATTGGTCAATAATTTTTCCCGACACGTAGTCATTCTGTCGACAATAAGTAATAAAGTCTTTAATAGCTTGTTTATTGTATTCCATATTAAGTAGAGTTTCCTTGAGTAGCTGGGAATACATAAATGTCGGCTCTAACTGATTTAAATTATTAATTGAAGCTATTTCATTTACTGTGATAAAACTCATAGCAATCGAATTTTGATTGCGCTTCTTAACACCTGATTGTAAGGCTTTACATAAGTCATCGATGTTGGTATCAACGCTCCTGATTTTTTGCCAATTTTTTGTGCATTCTTTCTGTAAGGATTCATTGCTACTGAAAATATAAACGCTATCCAACTGAGGAATATCATTGATGAGGGGCATTATTTGTTGTGGCAAAGTATTCTTGATAATGAGAAAAGACTTGATGTCTTCTTGAGCATCTGTAAGAAAGTCGATGCATGCATCCCGTTGCTTAAAGACATTGAAAGTACCAGTAATATTTTGTATTTGCTTTAATGTATTTTCATAATCATTGTTTGTTTGGTCCATGCTCTCATCTAACCAGAGGAGTGAATAATTCTGAACCATACGCCGCCCTGGTTGAATAACATCAGATGATATTGTTGTTGTATCATTGTTATTCATAAACGGATTTGATGATGAAGAAGCTTTTTGATTTGTTCCTGATCCATTCATTATGTCCGTATTATAATTTGAATATAAGCTTGTCAATAGTTGTTGTTGTTGTTGTTGTTGTTGTTGCCCAAATGGTAAGAAAGCCCACCGTTCTTATTGATAATGGCAATGACGTATGTTTTGTTTTTTCAGTATGCAAAATGTGTGTATTTTTTTGTCAAGATTTTGAGAGAAACTTTAACTATAGTTACCCTTTAAAAGACTGCTGTAAAGAGTAAGAGACAGAACAAGACAAATAACTTTCTTAACGACATTCGCGACAAAACAAACAAATCAGAAGCTAACGAAATGATTTCGTTTTACAGTTATTCTTTCCAACTTTCTTTTTACTTCATCTGCGCAGTTACTCCAGTATAACAACGCGCGTGCAGCACTTTGTTATTTAAACGAGAGAGAAAAGGAAGTACGATTTATTCAGCAAACGTTGCTTCTCTTCATCATACATCGTTTTGTTGTTAAATGACTGCAAGAAATTTATTAGAACAAAACAAAGAACTAAAAAAAAATTTTTTCTCTTTCGATCGAATTCTATTTATAGTCGAAAAGAATACATGTAAATTATTCTTATATAAGACACTCAAAGATAAATCGACACATATTTTCTTATCTGTTTTTCTTTTTCCTTCATTCAACAAAAAAATACTTTGAGATAAATAACGATAAAAAAACATTTAATTGAAAAATATATAACTCTAGTAATGAACAGTAATTCGAATCAATAAGATTAAATCAAAAAGAGAAACGAATATTCTTCAATTCTGTTGATGAAACGATAGGATAAGAGTATTGATACCGTTGATTCGTGGTTAAATTCAAAAAATACAATATTGGGAAAGAATATAACTGAATAATTCTTAGATTAAAACAAAAAAGATTTTAATAATATGGTTCAAGATATGTGTAATTACGAGTTTTATTGACTAAATTATCAAGGTTGAGTTTGTATTTTTTTCTCTCGACTTCGAAAAAGTAAGAAAAATAAGAGATATGGAAGAGGTGTGTGTTGGTAGTGCCTTATTTACATATTCAGTTACACAATTTAACTAGCAAACTTTATTCTGATAAGCGTTTCTCGTTCTCACATGCGTTATATAACATGATGACGCACAATCGATATATTTATATAAAAATTGTTATCAGTGAAAATGCAATCTTTTTTCTATTCTCAAGAAACTTCAAGATATAAAAGGTGTGTCCATCTGAATAATGAATTCATTGAGTAAAAATGAATGTTATTGAATCACTACCAAACAATCATTATCAATCGATGATTGATGAAAAAATGCAATCCGATGTCACCTATTGGATCAATAAGTTCCATCAGTTATGGAGTAGAAGTGATCAACTTTTCTCACTTCTTCGTTCACCAGATGATTATTATAAACAGCCAATAAAACTTCGATTACCATTACTATTTTATCTCGGTCATTTACCATGCTTCAGCTGGGTGCAGTTTCGTCATCTAAATGGCATTAATGATATTATTGATAATACCTATGATGGTCTATTTGTACGTGGAGTTGATCCAGATGTGCAGACAGGTGTTGTCGAACACAACCATTCTAGTCGTTTCTCAACAGACATCAAAGACGAAGAAAACTATTGGCGTTCATTTACTGTACAAAGTGTGATCGAATACAAGCAAAAGGTTCGAGAACAAATTCTTCGTATCTTGAAGAATGGCAATCTTGATCTGAATAATTTAGATACATTGAATATGCTTAATGTTGCCACGGAACATGAAATGTTACATCAAGAAACATTGATGTATTTATTTGTTCAATTGCCGATAGAAAGTCTTCGAATGGATATAATCATTGAAATCGATCTTCGCCAGACTTCGGTTGTTTCTTCATTGCCAGAAAACAGATGGGTGACATTACCGGGAGGGCAAACTTCGTTAGGTAAGCCGTACAATGACCAGCCATTGACATTTTCGTTTGGTTGGGACAACGAATTTCCACGTGAATCGTGCTATGTATCTTCTTTTCAAATTCAATCGCATCCTGTTCGTAACGGAGACTTTCTTCAATTTATACTCGATGACGGTTATAGTACTAGTGATTGGTGGGATGAATCAGTATTTGAATGGATTAAAACATCTGACATACATCATCCAATGACTTGGACTAGAAAGGACAATTCCTACCGAGTAAATTTTGTATTGCAACGAGATATTCCCTTAGAGTTTGTACTCGATCATCCAGTACTACTAAGTCAAGTCGAAGCAAAAGCCTACTGTCGATGGATGTCAAAGAAAACTGAAGAAACAATTGAATTACCTACCGAATCTGAATGGATCTATGCAATGTGGGATTGGTCAGAATGTATACGTGATAGGCTGTTGAGTAGCGATTGTAATGTTAACTTTCGTCATCTTCACACGATACCAGTAAAATCAACGACTAACAATGAATTGCAATGGCAAGGATCTGCATTTGAATGGACATCAAGTGTCTTTCGACCTTTTTCTGGTTATCGAGGTGCCCTCCCAACATATCTTGAATATTCAGCTGATTTCTTCGATAATCGTCATTTTGTACTACTAGGTGGTTCATACGTTACTGACTCAACATTGATCCGAAGATCATTTCGTAATTGGTATCAAGATACATATCAATATGTGTTCGCTACATTTCGATGCGTTAAACATATTAGTCATACTGATGATCCACTGACTGAGTCTTAAGGATGTGAGTGAAAGTTAAATATGAATATTCTATCAAAATATTTCGTTTTTATTATCTTGAAAGATCGGAAAACAAAAGATATCACTCCGATCCCAATATTTTCAGATTTTCAATAATTGAGATGATTGCGATACAAAATGATAACTTTTATTTATCGAAGGAAGTATGTAAAAAGCAACTCGTGAAGAACTACAAAAATGCTTTCCTTCACATCCCATAAAAAAATATATATACAACAAAAATAATACACGCATATTATTGCAAGCTTGAGAAAAAAAAGAGATTTTATATCTGTTGATCTTCAGGCAATGGAGAATTGTCGTTTGTTGTTGAGTTTAAACGTTCAGATCGTACTTCAAATTTCAGATCAACATCATTTTTTGTTTCATTATTATTATCTGGATCATCGAGCATTGTATAATTTGACATTAATGATTCTTTTACAAATTTTTCATTACAAAAATCACACAGCCGATGTTGAGTACTAAAATAGAGAAAAGTTTTATTATTTTTTTCTCTTCGACGAAAACAAAATTAGTATAAACGTACTTTGGTGTTGAACCTGGCTGCCAATGATTTGAACAATAATAACAAAATATCTTTTGACAATGACGACAACGATACTAAAGGAAAGAATTTATTTAATAAAAATAAATTCTAAAATTTTTTTATAGATATACTTTTTTCAAAGTCCATCCAAATGTTGTTTCACATTTTGTACATTTTAAAACATCTTCTTCATGTATCCATTGTCTGGATTGAGGATCTGGGTGTAATGAAGATACCCTCATCAGCACCCTCATATATATCCGTCTCCTCCATTGTTTTGAAAGTTGATGATAAATATCGAATTATATTTGTTTCATCATATTTCTCGTCTTTCATAATGAGTATTTGTTTAATTTGATAATTTTGTAATAAATCATTTTTAAATAATTGAATACATTCTAAATTATCAATCGCACGTACTTCTACTTATTTTCTTTTGAAAAGATTTAAAACTGCTTCATCATTATAGGTTGTATATAAACTAACAACAATAAAGCCATACATATAATAACCTTGTTCAACAAATAAATATTTAGATCGATTGCAAGATGTAATAACTACATTAGATTGCATTGATATAACTTTTCTTGTTTTTCATAAATATGAAATCAATATATGGACTTTTTTCAAATACTTTCGAATAAGAGAACCATTCTATTGATTTATTCTTATTTGATAAACAAAGATAACCAATACATGAATCGTCATCTGATACAGAACAATCTTCGCGCTGGACATAACCAAGTGTTCTTACATTATAAGACCTTTTTTAATAATATGAATAAAGATCACCATCTTTGTGGAATGTACATCGACGTATTGCATCATTATACAATCTTTGAATACATTATTTATAAGAAGATATAGGTTTACAGGAGAATGTGACTGTAAATATAAAATCCATATACACGCCCGCATCCTGTAGTAGTCTGATGACCGTTATATTTAGAGTTTGGTTTTCGATATATCATCATAGTGGCCACATACTTTCAGTTCTGATGGGTGTATATTATATCATTCAGATACATTCATTATGTGATGAAACTCATTTTAAACGAATCTGAAAGATTTATAGACGAGAATATAATAAAATATCCCAGATCTTCTACTAAAAGAGGATTGTCTCATTAAAAAATACTTTGCCTGAAATAAAAAAAATTCCACGAAAATGATTCAACACATTCATAAACCTGTAACATGATTATCCTTATATAGTGAAACTACTCATCAAGCAAGTACGACTTGCCAGCATAAGTACTCACATTATCAAATGAGTACTCGTGAAAATTCACGAGTATTCTTACCGATTGTGTACTCATAGTCGTACTGATTCAGTTGTTGCTGATTTAACTTTACTCGCAAGTAGTGGTATGAGTACTCACTCGAGTATTCATATATTTTTTTGAAAAATAACTCAATAAAACAGTTATGCATTTTCAAAGATGAAATATAAAAAAATAAAATAATATGAAAATAAAGTTTGCACAATTTAATTAGATATGAAAACGTATTTTATTTGTTCCTTTTTTGTGCAGTATTATTAGACGACAAAGCGACCATATTGTTTCCAGGAGAGGAAAAAGAACATACACAATTGGATGTTAATAGCCATGTGTTTCTTCTTTTTCTTCAAATAAATGTTTGTATTCTATAGAAGAAATTGAAGTTGTTTTCCATGTGCTTAGATATTTTTTCGAAAGAACTGTTTTGTTCAATAAGATTATTCGTCATTATTCGTTAAGTAAAAATAAAAAAAAGCAACGTGACTTGTGTTTATGTATATAGAAGATATCCAATAGCAATATATGTTGAGATAGACAAGTCTTGTATCGAAATAATGTCATTCTTTTTTTTCTCAATTATCATTCTGGCCAGTATCATTTACTTATAATCACATGTTTAATGCTTTTATCTAGCCTTTGATTTGTTTTTAGATGTTTAATAAACAATCTTAGAACTTTAATTAGAAATTTCGATTAAACGCACCAGTTGTAAGTAAAATTTAATAAACACATCCGTTTCATATAGAAACTTTATTTTTTCTATTAACTAGACATTAATAAATCAAACATATTCAGTTGAATTTACTAATTAAGTTTATACAAAAACCGAAGTAAGTTTTCGCCTCTTATATATATATATATACATCCATATCCAATTTATATTGCAATTTTAGGAAAATATTAGTATAAATCTTAATCAAATTAAATCTACATTAATATGTCTAACAATGATAATGAGAGAATTGATGAAAAAAAGTGGTCATATTGGTGATGAATTATAGTTGAGAAAATACGAAAATTTATTTAAAGGTCAGTATACAACTTTTAAGTTTTCCACTACAAAGTTCATTAAAACTTGTTGTTTTAGAATTTATACAAATGAAATAAAATAAAAGCCACAAAAAGAAAACAGTTTATGTAGAACTATTAATAATATCAACAAATCTAACACCACAACTTGTACAAATATCAACGATCCCGAGCGAACAAGGCATAACAACGTCAACGAGCACTACTAAAAAAGAAACAACAACGCCAATACCATCAGAACCAACTCAATCATGTAAATGGACACTATACAACTCTTTTATAATTTTGTATTTTTTGCTATAATTATATTAAGCAAACTAGTTATATTGAAGCAGGGATGATTTAATCTTTTATATAATTAGAGAAGATTTTTTTATGTATCGTTTTATTTTTTTACTCTCTTTTCGTCTTGTTTTCATATTGAATATTGTATCATATTTTATTTTGTTTCTGTTACTTATGTTCTTTTTTATGTTCACCTTGTTACTGTTACACGATCAAAAACTAGATTATAGCAATAAATTAAAAACTAATACAAATACTGCCGAATATGAAATATACCAATCGAGTACTCGTAAAATTAGAAACGAGTAGTTCCTCATAGTACTTAAATACTCGGTAGTTTAACATAAGTACTCCCTAGTAGTACTCGAACACTTAATGTGTATAACAGATACAACATATGAGTACTCAAACATCATAAATACTCATGAGTTCTCGTGACATTTTCTAGCATGAGTACTTGTTTAGTACTCCGGTATGAGTTCTTTCACTATAGGGTATTCATATGTGCCGAAAGATAATCGATCAAGTATTCGAGTATTATCGCCATCAAAAATAGCGCTTTTCCACTTTCAATGAAAATTTAGTGATAAATACTGATTTACTCTACTACTGCTGCTAGATCATTTATCGTTGATGATCACTTCAGGTATTTTTATATCCTAATTACAATATATGATCAATACTCTTAAATTAACATTGGTTCGAGATAAGTTGATAAATAAATATTTGAAAAAGTAACTAAAAATAGTATCAATTTACAAATAATTCATAAATCAATGTTATATTATCAACTAATATCAGAATTATTATTTTAACATGTAGCATACTCATCAGTTGAAAATCTACTGTCACTAAAATCTAAAACAAGTTAAATAAGCCTTTACACGTTGAAAAAAAACATCTATTTTGCAGTTATGTATGATACATTAAAATATTGAAAGGAAGTAAAGACGTCATCAACTTTATTTAGTAATTTTTCCAATGTAATTATGAAGATGCTGTTTTCCATCCTCAGAAAGTTTGCATACGTTACCATCATTATTTTTCTCAACACACAGGTACTTTTTTTAAAGTAATGAACTTTATCTTGTTGTAATTACATCAAAATAACCTACATCTTTCTGCAAATACCTTATTTCTATCGTTTCTTTTAAAAAACAATCAAAAAAATTGTCCAACTAACTTCTTTTTCTGATATATACATTATGAATCACAGCAGCATAAAAATGAGAGAAAAGAAAAGAAAAGAAAAGAAAAGAAAAGAAAAGTAGAGCCATGTTTTAGTGGATGAGTGTTTTTCCTCGAAAAAAAAGTTTAAAATATGTTGTTATGATAAACAATTATTAAACTCACTATAGAATAGTGAAAAAAACTGTTTTTTTATGTATCTGATAAACAAGATGTGCTATCATTCACTAATACTAACATACTTAGATGTGGATCCTAACTGGTTGGATCATTGTTACATTCATGAAGAAAAATGCGATTATCTATTAAATCAAACATCGTAATATTCTTTCATCAATCAAAAATTGAAAAATAGAAATGACACTAAACAATAGCAAAAGAGGGATTGTGGAAATATTGTCATACTCCGCGTTAGAGTCAATTGAAAAATCTAAATCCAATGCGTTTGAATTTTGAGGACTATTTAATTTTCTATGTTTTATATGAATGGCGTGAGAATTGACTGATATATTGTATAACTTATGAGATAAGTTTGAATGAATATCTAATTTATACATGGATACAATGAATTACATATCAATTAAATGATTTTTATCTTTATAAGAAAAGCTTCATTTGCGGCTAAATCTTGATTATTCTCTTTTCAAATCCAATATTATTGAGTGGATCGTTCTATATATTTTTTATCTTTATTCATATTCTATATAACGTAAATGCTCTATTTGTGAATATATTTGTCTCTAAGTAACATAACAACAAAACAAAATCGTCTTTCCGAATCGATGTGTTTTTACAAAATAAAATATAGGTTAATATTATTTTTTCCATTAGATTGATGAAATAAAATGGAAAAAAAGAGAGTAAAAGAAGGAAAAAAAATAGTATTTATCGCTCAACAGTTTCTTTTTCTTTTGTTCTCAGTTAAATTCATTTTATCAACTTGCAATTTAGTTGATAATGGCTTTAAAAAGAATTTGGTTATGGTTTGTATTTTTGATTATTACACAATCAGTTGGAGAAGATACACGATCAGTTCTAATGTCTTTAATCACTGGTTCGAAATTTCAATGTTCCAGTACACCTTGTTTACCATTGACAAGTATCATTACGTCGACTATTATGAAGTGTCAAATGGCTTGTTTAGCTCAAATTTATTGTAGAGCAGCCAGTTTTCATCAATCAACTTCTAATTGTGAATTATTTACTGATATGTCAAATGAAATTGCAAATATGTTGATTGATACCGACATTACTACTATGATTGTTATTGCTGGAACACGGTGTCCACCTGGTCAGTATGAATGTAGTACATTTGCTAAGCAATCATTAGTAGTGCGCAAATGTTGTAGAAGTCAAATCTGTCTAATTCTAAAAATCCTAGCACTTAAGTTATAAGAAACATCAAAGCATTTGTCAGGATTGTTATAATTGAGATCTAATTGAAGTAAAGATTGTAGAAGTACAATCATAATGTAAGCAATGTAAAGATTTATTCTTCAACCATAATGCACTCATATTTATAGCATTTATAATAGTTAGAGAAGAAAAAGGAATAAATTAGAAGAAAACCCGCATCCAACCGTTGGTCTCATTCTAAATTTCTTTTTGTAAAATAGAACCGACCATACCACCAACATTAACAACAAGATTAGCAACAGTATTATCATCATCAGCATCGATAACAACAACAACAACATTAACAGCAACAGCATTAGCAACAGCATTACCATCATCAGCATCAATAACAACAACAGCATTACCCTCATCAGCACCAATAA